TCAAATCTTTACGTCATTATTTGTAAAATGACAGAAGACGTTTTTACTCAGTTTAATTTAATCTACGAGAACACGACAGCAGATGTGCCTCCGTCACAAGCTCATTTACCGCACAGTGCATGATCGTTCACTAATCCTTTTTAATTAACAACCCAAAATTGTACGTGGCTGTGCGAAATGGTAGAAAAATTTTACATATATAGCTTGATAAGTTCTGCCTATACAGAAAAAAGGACATGCCTTTTTGGAAAGTATCTTTATTCTTAACATGTTAACATCTTCAAATGAGATTACATGAATTAGATGAAGATGATCTACTTTCAAGAATATATTTTATATGATTTTCAACGAAGAAAAACTATTTTTTTATTATTCAGAAGTTATTTTCATTAATGAAAAGCGTAAAATATTAAACTGAGAATGTGATGTTTTTAAACGTGTGTTATGTGCACGAGGTTTCTCTATTCACTTAAAACTATTCAAATTAACAATTATTGTTTCATGTATAAGCAATAATATATAATATTGTTAGAAGAATTTTATCGCCTTAAATTTAAACAATTATTCGTTCAACTATGTACAAAACATATCGATGCAAGTAACTTATCTTCGTTTAATACTATGTGGTCTCATGAGAAGATTAACATATCAAGAATAGAGATATTCTCCAAACCAGAAAGTCCCCTTTTTTTTGTGTACGTACAACGGGTGTGTCAATAATTGTCAGACACATATACGATTGTATACGTCGCGCGCGCGCGCACTAATTAAATGTGCAGAAACTCGTGCACATCCGCTCGCAAGGACGGCTTACATCGAGCCGAGAGTGTCCCGGGGATCGTAGCAAAACGCTCACGTCCGCCTGGAAGTGTTCGTAACAAAATCTTCGCGCCGCGGGATCTCCTTGTTCAATGTAGCGGGATTAAAATCCTCTCAGCGAGAGAAGGAGGAGGATGAAGAGGAGGAGGCGTCATCATCGTCGTCGTCGTCGTCGTCGACGGCGGTGAGGAGGACTTCCGGTTTTGCGCCATTAACTAACTTGGCTTGTTTCTCGCTCGACGCGAGCTTCTCCGGCCAACCCTGGAGTGTCCTTTACTACTGCGGCCCCTCGCCAGTGCTGTACTTACGTTCTCCGGGACTAATGACGGCCTCGACGTCGCTCACCGCATCGCGTTATGCTCCTCGAGAATGCGGCGAGAGGGTAAAGGCGTGAGCGAGAGGAGAGAGGAGGGGAGGGAGAGAAGAGCTGGTTATTAGACACGTCCTTGTGTTCGACGTGTACGCGCCGCGTCGGACTAACGGCGGAATAATGGCAGTCGCGGATTAAGATACTTCGAATCCGCACAGAGGCGGCAGTCAATCTCGGAGTCGTCTTATTAAAATATCCTACTGAGAATACCCAACTCCGCGGATGCGTGACAATCGTGCGCGAAAATCGGAAACTTCATGAAAGTCTTTTCACGAGTCTCCGAAGAGAATTGCACGTTGTCGTATATCTTTAATGACTGGCCGTAATTATGCAAGAATGATCCAATCCAAATTATGTTTTAAGAAAAATGAAGGTGAAAATTTGATGCATGATTTATAAAAGGCAGAGGTAGCACTGAGATTCTTCGCAATCGTTCAAGCATGATCAATGTTCTTTTCTGCAAGGGTATTCATTGACAAGTTTAATCCTAAAAAAATCCTAAAAAAGACGCAACTGGTAAAAATAGCGCAACTAGTAGAAATTAAAAACTGTCTTTAATTAACTATAGGCGCCTATAAGGGCTAAATCTTTTTTGTTGTAGGATGTAGGAGAACTATCCATGGTAACAAAGATTCAAAAGTCATAATTTTATCAATTGGATCATTTTTGCATAAACGATGATACAGCCAAATGATATGGCCTTTGTTAAGGAATCCTTTCATTTTCGCGATTATGTCTTTTCTTGACGCACATTAAGTTTCACACACTTATACGGTGATCGGTCACTGAGTAAAAGGCAGTAATCAACAGATCGCGTGTCGGAAATAATTGGTCTTTTGAGGAAATCGAACTTTCGAATGTTATTACGAATTTAACATTTAACATTTCCGCGAAAGCGGACGATTACATGACGCAGTGTGTTTTCTATTTATTGGAAACAAGATGCGTGAGAACATAAATATTTGGAGGAAGGAAACGGACGTTTGTGTGTTTTTAACGTTGTTATTTTGAAAATTTATTCACGGTGGAAAACGAAAATGGAAAAAACCAGAATATAACTGCTTATCAACGAAACGTCTCGCCGTTTAATTGGCACTTCTTAATTTAATTTAATTTTCGTTTCTATTTACTGGAAACACACCACACGCAAAAATACGAATGTTAGAGTTCGAGAGAAGAAAGAGATGCTTGTTAACGTTATATTATTTTTTCCAATTTACCCATGATGGAAAATGAGAAAGGTGAAAATCGAAACGTTATCAACGACCGGGCGAAATGTTTCGCCATTTTATTGGCGTTTCGTGAAGTATCTCCTAATAAGTATAGCTGAGACTTCATCTAGCCTCTTTTCCGAAAGCAGACGGTGCACTTTGCCCCTATTCAGACGTGAAGGATGTGCACGTACGTGCAGAAGATCGTTGCGATACTAATTGCGAGCTCTCAAAAACAAACAAACTCGGTGATGATAGCACTTTAGGTCTCTCTCTCTCTCTCTCTCTCTCTCTCTCTCTCTCTCTCTCTCTCTCTCTCTCTCCCTCTCTTTATGTTTGTGTATGTCTCTCTCTATGACGTCTTCCTAAATTTCTGGCGAATCGCAATCATAACTGCAGCAGTCTCTAATGTCGCGTCTCGAGTTAATCTATCGCGTAAAACATTCCCGTCGTTGTTCTGTCTCGGAGCTGCGTCCTAACGTCGCTTCCTAGACGACGTACGTCGCGCGACGAAGTCAGTGTCAGTCTTAACCGACTGTCCCGGGCCTTTTCTGCACTGCTGGGGGGCGGAGGAGGGAGGCACTGTCGTTACGAAAAGTACGTGGAATTTATATTGAAAATTCCATTTTCGCGGACGATCGCGGGGAGAGTCGTGCTCTCACGGCCGAGCGTGCAAATATTTCCGACCCTTAGGTTCGCACTGTAGCGATTTTTCCGATGCTCCGGCGAGCGGGACGGGCGTGCGCGGAATTGAAGTGGAGCTCCCTGCTGCGTTTTCTTTTTTTTCTATTTTTTTTCCTTCTGCACGCGCCACGTTCGAACCAGACCGGATTGTCACGGTTAAAGCGCTTCTTTTATTTAACGTTTTAAAAAACCGCTGCTCGCGTCACCTCGCGAACTCGTCAACGAGCACTCTTCCATGGGACGAAAGAGAGGGCGGGAAAGAGAGGGAGGGGGAGAGAGAATCGTTAGAAATCGAAGAATTGTATCAATCGAGGGAGAGTCTGAACAGTCTTTATTTTCACTTCTCGACTCGCCCGCTTGACGTAATTTTCGTACTAATCAATGTCTCGAGTTCCCCGGCACGAGCAACTCCGACGTGGAATCGCACGAGTTTCAATTTCTCGGACAAATCGAGAAGTGCCGATAATAAACTTCGCTCAAAAGTCAATCGACTCGAAAGTTGGAGCGCGTGCGCCCGTCCGCCCGCCCGCTCTCCCGCTCAAATCGTTCCTGCGGAATCCTTTTTCCGCGCGTTTCCTCCAGGGACATCGTTCTCCATTGAAAAGTTAAACGCGCGCGTGTCTTCGACTATAGGATTATGGTCTTCCGGTAATTGTTTTAGCTGTTCGTCGATGTAACTTTCGATGACTGCGTCTGCGTCGCGCGCGCGCGAAACTTTCACGGGCGTTAATTAACTGCTAATTGGATCTTATTAATCGGGGACTTCGTCGTACTCCCGCGGCACATTCTCCCAACGTTGCTTTGTCTATGTTAATAGAGGCCACACGTAGTCTGCGGATCGCTGTTGCATTCTCTCTCTCTCTCTCTCTCTCTCTCTCTCTCTGTCTCTCTTTCTCCAGTTTAATGTAATGCATTACAGGACGACGCCCGACCGCCACGGGGAAAATCGAGCAAAAAGCTTTCGACGAGCTCGCTCTGGGACGTCGTTGACCGAGCCGCGGATTTTTACGCACATCGCGAACAACGGGAAACGAAAGCGAGTCGCCTCAGCGTGCACGAGCTCCCAAATCCGTGCGCTGAGACTTTGCACGTTTGTTAACATTCCTATAATTGAATTCTCTATCAGAAAAGAACTCTGATTGCAAAAGGCTCTGGTCCCTGTAATTTCGTAATTCTAAGTGAAAACTTTCATCAAAAGAGTATTTCTCTTCGGGACACGATAAAACGAAGCGCAACAAGCACGACTTTTACTGTGGACGACATTCCTCTAACTTTAAGAACATTGTGCTTAGAATGTTTTTCTGTTGGCTTTAGAGGAATCCCCTTAAGGCCATAAGGATAAAATCTTCTAGGATTCAGAGAATTTTGCTAAAGACGAGGTTACATTTTGTGGATTTTGCTAATTCGCTTATACGAAGTGGCAAAACGATCAAAGAGATAGAAGAAAAAATCTAAAAGAATAAAAAAATATTTATTCGATGCGGGCACTAATAATATATTTCCTTGAATCTACATTCTGTATTCTTTTATTTAAATATTTAATAAGATAAACAATAGAAAGAAATTGAGCTTTTAAGAAAATATAAAATGTTTTCTATGTGAAGAAATTCTGTATAAATGAATATGTTATACCGAATAAATGTTTTTCATACTACATATGTTTTTTTTTTTCGATACTCTTTCTCTCGGTGTACGAAAGGAGAAGATTGCCGCGTGCGTCGTCGCGGGCGATTTGTCATTTTCATTGCGAGCAGAAAACGTGCAGCGTAATGTGCCGCTCCGCGCGCTAGAAATGCCCTGCCTCGAAATTCCCGGCACGATGCTGCGCGAGACATCGCGGCGGGCCTCGGTAACCCGGCCCGACACACTGTAATTAAAGTTTTGTTACGTAACGAGAAATTTACTCGCGATTGCAGGATGCAGATACGAGGGTCGCCGATATCAGGAAGGAACGGCTGTGGCTACGTCCGAGCCCTGCCTGCGGTGCCGATGCACCGAGGGCGCATTGAGATGCCGGCTACGGGTGTGCCCGCGACTGCCGAATCCACCACCATCGGGCTGTCACATTCGTGCACCGGCCGAGAATGTATGCTGCGCCGAGTTGGTATGCGGCGAGCCACGTTAGTAACGACGTTGTCCCTTTGATTAATCGCGACACCTCGCCGATATGATAACTACACTGAGAGAAATGGCTTGGTGAATGACACTGTACTCGTCTTATGAAAGTAATATGGTGAATTTATATGCGGTATCTGGTTCACATATCCAGTATTCTGATTACGATGCCTCGACGCGTCTGGTAGTCAATATCGAGACATTTAGTTGTAGGCATCTAGACAGCTTGGTAATTCTCTCTAGATGTGATAGTTAATTGTTACTCGCTGCGACGTTTCCTTTTTCATCTATACTAATTTGTAAAGACGTTGGTGGTATAAAAGAATGGATGCTGAAACCGTCAGATATTTGGAAGAATGGAATTTCTTAAAATATGTCGACGAATTTAGAAGTAAATATATGAAGATCATATACAGTAAGTATAAGAAAATTATTTATATATGGTTAGATTTTAGGTTAGGTTTTATTATTTTAATTATCAATTGTATGCTGTACCAGACGATTTGGTAAACGTATTTAAGCATCACTGTAATGCTACTTAGACAATGTGCTCATCAGATAGTTTGGTATCATTGACTAAATATCTTGTTACACAATTATTCACCATACCGTTTGGTAAGCCTAAATAGAATTCTGATATCATCAGACATTTCCCTCAGTGTGCCCGCGATTCATCGTGCGACCGAATTAAGGTTGTTTCTCGCAATTCGCGCCGAAGATGGCCGAAGGACAGGACTCTGTCGATCCTTCGACAACATTCTTCAATAGTTTTGCATTGAAATAGAGTTGCATTGAACAGTAAGGGAGACCGGGTCTAGATGACCCCTCATGGAAAAAAAGGTTTGGTTGAATTAATCAAATATCTGGTCGAATATGAACAACCCAGAAATTCCGATTGAAGTAACCCGCATTCTGTTTAAGTTAACAAGATTTTCGGTTGACTTAAACAGAATTCGGGTTACTTCAATTGGAATTTCTGGATCGTTCATATTCGACTAAATATTTGGTTAATTCAATCAATCCTTTTTTTCTATGCAGGAATATGTTGTTCATGTGCTCTTTTTAATATTTATCAGAAAAACAGTGGATGCACAAAATTTCAAACTGATCCTTTTAGAACATAGATTTTCGTCAGTATATTGCATGGGTTTTGTATGAAAGAAAATTAATACGTGTCACCGCGGGAAATTTATTATTTTTATTATGTGTGTGTGTGGATAAATAACCGCAAATAACTATCTATCTATTTATCTATTTTTATATTATCTACTATCTATTTCTGTATCTCTTTACCAAAGAGACGGTATAAAGTAGTTAGGCTAGAAGAAAATACCATGTATTGCGTTATAACAGCTTTTTGTATATTGCCACTACACATAGTAACTGCTGACTTCTTTTTATTGATAACCATACAAAAAATTAAAATAAAATTAAGTTAGACACAAAAAACGAAAAAAATATCGGAATCTCAAAAATCGAGACCCAGAAACATTTGGCGTGATTCGCGTTAGAACATGTAATTTTTCAGAAAAATATCTATTTCCATAAATCTATAAAATGTTTACCGCAATTAGTACAAAGTATAAAATGTACAATTTATTATGGTTTGCGTTTTAACGCGATTGTGTGTATTTCCGGGCACACCGTGTTTTTTGGTCCCGATTTTTGAGATTCCCACTTTATTTTGTTTTTCGTGTGTATGAATATATTACGCTCTTCATGACGTTGATATTAAAATTGGATACTAATATTAAAATTGATGTGAAATTTCGTATAATTGAAGAAAGATTTTTCAGCGCACTTTTGTGCTAGAACGCCCAAAAAAGCGCAATATTTCGTGAATAGTAATTAAAATTATTCAACGCCGGGAGTTTATTATCACGGATTCTCGATGAGGTTTGTGTTTATACACACGCCTTACGTTCCTTTTGCAAAATCCGTCGCGCATTAAAGCGCGCGCATAAAAGTTTCGGCTTCGCAGCAAAGCAGATTAAAGAGTTAATCGTGGCTAGGGCTTAAATTTATTATCTGACTTACAGGCGACGTCGAGAATATGTTGCGGAGAGCTGGTGTACAAACGAACGCGGCAGCCGAGGATGAGAAGCATACTCACTACTCACGTACAGAAGGTACCGCCACTTTGTTGATTATGTGCTTTACTACGTATCTTCCGTGGCGAGATGTCATTAGAGTGCGCGAGTAATTATTTTTCGCCAACGTCACCGTGCGCGAAGCAGCCGCGTTTTTCGTAAGACAAAAAAACACGACTCATCACGAGACAGTCTGTTAACCATTCGCGATTTTTAAGCGCAAAATCAACCGCGGAAAATGCTGTTTCTTCTCTCACTGATTTCTCGCGAGACGCGACTCTCCTCCCGATTTGGAAATCCTTTTCTTTCTCTTTCTTTTTGTCTCTGTCTCGCTCTAACCTAGCGGAGTACGCTATTATTTTTAATAATTTCCATTCTAACTTCGTCTCTGAAAAGAGCGTCTGGGTTAGCCCCGCGGTAAATAAATGAGCCTCGTTACGGCCGAGTAAACTTGGGGTAAATAAATTGAGGTAGGTAGAGAACACTCAGCTAAACTCGGCCATAACACAGAAGGGGTTAAGATGGCTCGTTACTGTTGAAACGAGCGTAATTCTAAATTAATTCAGGATTTTCTTTGCTACCGCAAAGTTTATGCCACTACATTCGTTCATTCCCGCGCGCAGCGCAACATCGCTTCGTTGTAGCACGCTTTCATTCGCGATGAAACGAAACGAAATTTCCTGCATGAAGGGTATATTACGATCGAGCAGACACGGCTGCACATGTGACGTTCCCTCATTACTTGAGTATTTCTTTTGACAATCATTACTTAGTAGAGATGTGCGAACTATTCGAATCCGAATAATTCGAAAATTTCAAATCGAAAAGATTCGGATCGCGCATTAGTATCAATGAATACTATTAAAGACATCCAGCCTTACGAGAATTAGCATGACTCGAAAAGTTTGCTATACATTAAGATTTTCTTCAAAAATATTAAAAGAAGATAATGGCTTCTAGATAAACTCTTACCGACAACTGCCGGATCGATATGTGTCGTTGCGTAGCTTTCAAGGCTGGAACTGAAATATATTATATATTTCTTATCTTGAATTGATATCATATAATCAATGTTATCTCTCTCATACTGAAGTTATTTCATGTTGAATTCAATTTATTCTATTTTCTATTTTCATGTTGAATTCAACGATTATGTTAATTAAAAATTCTTTCAACGATTCGATTTAAATTCGAAATAAAAATCTGAGATACAATTCGATTCGACATCAAAAATCTTTGATTCGCATCTCTATTATTTAGTCAACAACAATAACTGACGTATCATCAATCAGCGGGAATCTTTCATTTAGTCATCCACACGTTGCCTTCCCTCCGGCATTGACACTTAATTGATCGGAGGTATTATCGCGCCAGCGATCGCTGAGATCTATTCCCCGAGATTTGTTTGGTAAGGAACGAAATTCCGAATCTCGAGATCAAAGTCAAATACCACGGACGTTAAAGCACAGTAACACATACGGCTACCTTTTCTCCCGCGGAACAACAATCTTCCACGTTACTTCATAAATACGTGAAAGGCTCGTGCCTTTCTTGAAAGCATTGCTAAATAAATTACCGGGCACCAGGAACTTCGTCGAACTTCGACGAAGCTCACGTACTATCTCACGAGGTAGGAGCGATCTTAACGAGAGCAATTTAACGTAAATTCCGAAAACTCCATTCGGCGCTCGATTGCAATTAAAGATTAACCGTTGTATCTAGAGCCCTTGGTTCTTTTTAAAACGAACAGATGGCCGTCGTTATACACTGATAAAACGAGATGCCGAAATAACTGACGCGAGGGGTTATCACGTTGTTAAACGGTACAGGGAAATAAAGCAATAGAAACGCGGAGCTAACAAAGTGAAGGATTGTTCGAGAAACAACATGTGTAACATAAGATAATAAAAGAGTCTCAAGCATGTCAGAGAACTAAGATGTGCGCACAAGAAGAAAGAAACAGACGCTTGTCTTGTCTCTGAATACATCTCTAGGAAAACGGAGTTCTGATTAATTTTCAACCTAATTTTACACAGGATTGACGGGATAACAATAGACGTATTACCAACGCATGTCAACGAGATCAAAATATAAAAGAGCTCGAGAAAATCATGAACCCTTTAACTTTCAAAGCCAAAACGCGAGAAACAAATCCGTCCAAAAAACAAGTTACTCCGCGGTAGTTTTTTATTTACTTTCGCGCCACGTCACACCCGATTCGTTGTTGGCCCGCCGTTACTGCCGCACACCTGTGCACCTCTCATGTTAAACTATCCATTCTATCCGTTCTTTAATTTTTAAAGGGAGGTTTCGTTTTAAATAGCCGAAAATAGGAGGTTTCTACAAATTGTTTTTAAAGAAATGAATAAGGACGTCAGTGTAGGGCTTTGATCATACTATTTATTATCGTTTTAAGTATAGAAAAGGATTATTTTTTTATTAAAAAGGAAAATAAAAATTCCATCGTCCAAGTGTTGTGCTAAGCGCTAACGTCACCGGACGTTTTTAACCAATGGAACAAGAAAATTTCAAAGCTATATATTAAATTTGCTGAAGAATGAACCTAAATTCTTTGTAACATTTCCAAAATCAGTATTTTTCACGGGACATTAAAAAGAAAAATTACTTGTAATTTTTAAGTTTTGTTTAATTTTGACTTTCTGCACATGACAAAGATTCATCCTCCAACGAATACAATTAACAATTTAATTTAATACAATTTATTTTATTTTATTTTATTTACAATTTATTTACAATTTAATATAATTTTTTGCTCCCATTGGTTTTAGAGCATTACACGAGTTGTAATATCCACCAGTCGGAGATGACACTGCGTGCAAAAAATCTGGACGACGAAAGAAATTTATATTTCTTTTTCAAATAGAGCAATGATAAATAACATGGTCAAAATCCTATATTAACATTTTTATTCATTTCTTCGAAAAAAAATCGTAAGTAAAAATTCTTTACTTTTCGGCCATCTAGAGGAAAATCTCTCTTTAAAGGGATGCTGGAGTTGATAATAAATTGTCGATAACGTAGAGATCATCATTAATACAATCACGCTATTCTCTTCATATTTTTTGTACATATAAGTCTCATATAAATGTGCATTGTTTTGTTTTTACCATATTTAGTGGAAGACTTAAGGGGATGCTGGAGTCGATGACGAACTCAAATAATGTCGATAATGCAGAGACGATCGTCACTAATATAATCACGCTATCCTTTTCGTATTTCTTATACATATAGAACTTACATGAATGTGTGTTGCTTTGTTTTACCATACTCAACGGAAAACCTAACCATATATGTGTAGAAATCTTTTTGCATATTTTTACTTTTTCAATATTTTTAAGCTTCCAAATGCGGATGCGAAGGTAGAGCAATGTTCTTCAAAATTTTTCTGCTTGGAGCCACAATTTCGGTATGTACAAGCTGCGGAACTTTTGGATTAGGCAAATATTACGCTAACTGACAGCTTGAGATTTTACATAAAAAATTTTTTGTTCGTTTTCGACACATATTGAACAATGCTCCTATTTATTTTTGCACGTATTTTCATTGCGTAAAAGCATTTGTAATTTTGTGTAATCAATACGACGTAAACTTTGCAGAAAAATGTCAGTGTTTTGTCGGTGAAGTTTTCAGCTTCAGCATCTCCTTAACGACCTAACAACATAGAAATCTTTCTGCAAACTTTTCCAATATTTTTAAGCATTTTAATTCACACGCAAAGTTTGCAGCAATGCTTCTTGAAATTTTTCTGAGCCAAACAAACTCGCGTTCAGTATACACAAGCTAAAGATTATCTTATATATCAGGCGAACATTTATTTCAACTGAAAACGTCTGGATTAATTTACACTCGAAATGTCAACTATGAAATTTTACATCAGTTTTTGTAATACATTGAGCAATGCTTCGTGTCATACTCGCACGTATTTTCACACTCTCAATTCTGTGTGCAGCTAACGCAACGTAAACTTTACAGAAAAAAGTCGGTATTCTGTCGGTAAAGGTATCGACTTCCCGTAGCGGCGACGCGAGAGAGAATAAACTTGAACATTATATTTAGGATGCCTGCACGAGGGGGTTCGATACGGCTCGGGATCGGCGATGATGGGCTCGCGTCGGTGCGAGTACTGCTATTGCATATCCGGCGCGAGGAGGTGCATCCGACCCAAGTGCCTGCTGCCTCTGCCGGGGTGCAGCCCGCTGTACACACCCCATTCCTGCTGCCCGGTCGCCTATAACTGCACCCGTAAGTGATATTTTTATTCGGCGCGACGCCACGCGACTACTCTCTCGAAAGTAACCTCACCCAACGGCACTCTTTATTTCTTTTGAAGACCACCATCCGTCCACAATGGCGCCGATATCGGGGAACGGTGAGTTCAAATATTGTCATTTACGAAGCGGCTCTTAACTGAATTCAGGGAAAGTGGGGGCGAACGCTGCTTCGAGAAATTCCCCGGAAACTCGATAATGTGCGACCCCGGACCCTGCTCGCGTCGTTGTTTACGCAGAGATAGCCACGGTAGCTTTTAGTAAAAAGAACACCTCGAGTCTCGCCGAAGTTGAGCGACAAAATATCACTCTCTTTTTGGCGGCTAATTAATACACGCACGCCGCGGGACCTTAGTGAGAGTTCGGTACTTTTATAAAATGCCGGGCACGCAAACAGCGACGTTTCATGAGAAGACTAAACTTTTAAAGTAAAATAGTGAAATTTGGACGCATCCTGTGACACATACACAAGTGAAACGCGGGCAAACAAGCCTCATATCTTCCTCTTACACACACACACACACACACACACACACACACACACACACACAC